ATATATATATATATATATATATATATATATATATATATATATATTACAGTTATATTAATATTACTTCACTTTATTGAGAAAATCATTTTTTTTTAACCATTGTAGAACATGATCAAGCTTTCATCAGTGTAACATATAAATGCTGTTCATCAACATATCAGTGGGTTGATAATGTCATAAGAACTGATTACGTGCTGTTTATGGCATCTGATGGCGCTTAGGGAGACCATGGATCTGCATCTGGGAAGTTTTTTTTTTTTTTAAAGTCATCTGATGGGGTAGTGCTGCATCTGCTTTAACAATATGAGTGTAGGTGAGGCATTACTAGAGGGTCCTCTCTTGATCAAAACAGTACACAACCACCCTACATTTAAGTCATATTGATTAACTATTTCTATAAAGTATGCAACCTGTAGGCCAGCCATAAGTCCCATCCAATGTAGCTCTACATTCATCATTGAAAACTATTGCAGAGAAATCAGTTTACATGTAATTCTTTATTCAACTTACATGTTTCTCTTTATGAAGTTTACTTCAAGGGGATTAACTTGGTTGCTTTCATGTCATTCATCAATATTCTTAATAATCTGCATCTGGTTGCCATTTCAAAACCAGTTTCTTTAAATATTTCCTTGATGATCAGTCTATTTTACTTGTTAATTTCTTTTTAAAATTTCTTTCAAATCTCTGTTCATTACATTCATAAATTTTTTTCTATTTTCATTTTCTTTTTTGATTGTTCTTTGATCTCTGTTTAATATTTTCACATTTTCCATGGTTATGTTGTCATCTCTCAATAATTGAACAATATCTTCTGTTTCGGAGTTATGACCTATGACCATCTTTACTGATCTGAAATGAAAAAATAAATATTAACAATATTATATATTTACAATATGAAGAACAATGTTTGAGATGCATAATAAAATCTTACACAACCAAATAAATTATTGTAAATATCTTTAATAAAGCAAGATATTATAACATATTTATTACATACATATAAGTACATATCAAAAATTTTTTTTTTATCAGTTGGTGAATAACAATTTTATTGGGAAAACATTAATTTGCATTAAATAATCTAACAGTGTATATGACAAATCACTGAGTCAAAAAATCAGTTTATTAATATTTTATTTTGTTTTATTTAATATATATATATATATATATATATATATATATATATATATATATATATATATATATATATATACACACACTGTCTTATTCAAAATATTTAAATATATATTCAAAAAGTGTTAATGGTTCTGCACAAAACAGTCACCACTATAATCAAAAACATGAGCTGGTGTCTGACTGTCAGTTCCTAGGAACTGAGCTGCTTGACTCTCATATGTCAAATAAGACAGTAGAGTCGAATATATATATATATGATTTTGTTTTATTCAAGATATGACATATTCAGTATATTTTTTTATTTAAATTTTATCTCTGTATTATAAGTAATACTTTTTACAAAAGTATAAAGATCAGTTTTCTAATGTTTTATTTATATTTTAATTTCATTTCATGATTTAAATGTTAAAAGAATCGAATAGAAATAATTTGATCCTTAAGGAAATAAGATCTTAATAGTTGCCTGATTAATGTAAATACATTATTTACTTACCTCAATCCATTGGGCTACTTAAAAACTGTAAAAGATTACTCTCTCAGTTATTTATTGTCATATATGATGATTGTATTTTTGGTAATCACTATTCAGATGCAGTTGAACTTAAATTGCAATAGGTAAAGTACATTTTAAACTTGCTACTGTTATGGCATTTAAAAGTGAACATAATTATTGGTTTGTTTGCATTTTTAAAAAGAAACCTTTTTTAATCTACATGCTGAATATACAACGTGTGTAATTCTGTAAAGATACAATTGTTTGGTCTTATGCTTGTTTATGAATAAGCAATTAAACAATGCCTATAAATGCACACATATGCACATAATGGCACCTGTTATACAATGATAAATCTCACCAATTATTTATTAGTATTGAAAGTTTCATCATGCTTCATTGTTTTTGTGTGAGAAAATCTCATTAGATGGGTACATAAAAATAAAGGCAAAGATATATTTATGTACACATATATAAACAGATATAACAGATCAAATATGTCACTTAGATATTTTGGATTCATTCATAAATAATAATTTATGTTGCACCTATTTGTATAATAAAACCTGGTTTCATAATAAATTTGCTTGCCTAATAAACACTGCTTTCATAATAAAACTGCTTGTGTAATAAACCTGTTTTCATAATAAACTTGTTCATAGAGTAAAACATGAATTCATAATAAAACTTGATTGTATAATAAAAGCTGTTTTCATAATAAACATGTTTGTACAGTAAAAAATGAGTTCATAATAAAACCTGATACTCCCAAAACAATTATCAATATTTTTAATAAGGATATTATAAGCTGAAATTCATATATTATATTTATCATATAAGATTAAGTATATCCTGAAAGATTCAACAAAATAAATTGATTAAAACCAATTTTATAGTGAAAACTTGGCTTGTATAATAAAATCTGATAGTGTAATTGCCCTCTTATTTTTACCTTGTAAAATCACAGACTATGAAAAATACGATTTTTCTTTTTCTTTTAGTAATAGTTTCTATTATATGCTGAAATATCATTACACAATATTTTGCTCTATTTTTTAAAATCCATCCTTTATATATTGTTAAAAGTCTGTTAATGTCAAAAGATTTCTAAGTGTTGCCAGTATGATATATTTTATACATATATGCTAATATCTTCTATGTTAATATAATATATACTACATTAGACTATATAGCACTAAAATTTTCATAAAAAGTAAATATTTATTTGGTAAAATTTTATGTATAAAATCTCTTATTTGTGAAATCAATTTTCTTTAGTGTTTTTGTTTTGATTTGCCTGACCCTATCCAGCTAAAATGAAATTATTCACCTACTTCCACTATTAGTTCAACCCTTAGATAAATTCCTTAGTTCTTTGCTTTCAACACGGCATTGTCCAGTTATGCTTAAAGGCAAAAGAGAAATCTCCGATTACATATGAAAATAATGTATGGATACTGCCTATTCCCTAGTGATGACATGTCTTTAGCAATTGCAAGTTTGAAGAACCTTTGGGGAAAGGAAGAACCTATGGTTGATAGGAAGTGTTGTGGTAAGAAAATTCCGGATGTGATGAAAGGAATAAAAGGAAAAAAAAAATAAGTGAAAGAAACATGACTAAGACAAGGGATACATGCTTGATTTAAAGGGAGAAAATGAAAGGAATCCAGAATGGTGGATGTTGCTTGGTTGCTAATGGGCCTAAAGAAAGCTGGAGATGCATTGAATTGAAAGCCATGACTGATGTAACAGGAAGGCAGCTAGATATGAATCTCCTCCTGCAAAGCCAAAAATACATAACATCAAAGATGAAAAGATAGAGAAGAGTAAAAGGGCTTTGTGTTACTGGAAACACTAGCTGAATGGAGTCAACATAAGGCAAAGAAAATGTATGTATGTTAGCCATAGGGAGATAGAATGTTGGAGAAAAAAAATTGTCAGAGAGAATGAAGACAGAATGTGCAGAAGAATATGGATCTGCAAAAAGATAACATTTCTACTAATTTGACAATTAATTTCAGTTCTCATTTATATTTTTTGTCTGTATTTCTCAGATGAGCAGTTATCTTTATTTACATTATTTAGTATTGTCCTTGTTTCTATTGTTGCTATCACAACATCTTGGCCATTTTGCTTTTTGGCCTTAACCAATTTCTTTTTGTTAATAAGGGTAACCTGTAGTGAACTTCAAACTGAACCCTTTATTTAATCTATATGTGTGGAGTCTTGTTTTGCTGCACATGTCTAGAGATATCTCATTTAGTTCTTATTTAATAATGTTCAGTTATTGTTTGCCTGTTTCCATTGAGTCTGAGTACACACTGCTCTACCCAGAGATTGAACTCAAAATTAGTGACCAAATTCATAAACCAATGCTTTAATCCACTAGGCTATTGTTACCTAAATTGATAAGAACTTGATTTAGGCCAGCAAGCACAGTGACCAAAATATTGGGATAAGGACAACAAGGATGAAGACAATAGTCCACATGTAAATAACATAATTATTTACTGATGCAGTAGTATCTTAATCTTTATTATAGTTATCAGGTTTCAAATATTGTGTTCTTTGGCCTCCTTCAAGGGTGTCATGGGATTTCAAAATGAACCTTTTATTTAATCTATGGGGGTAGATTGTTACCTTTCCATTGTCCATGCCTAGAAAATGTCATGTGCTTTTTAGTACTGATCAGTTATTGTTAGACTTATTTTCACTGTATCTGAGTCTGGGTTACCTGGACTCAGTTGCATAGTAATTGCAAGTTCAATCACTAATTCATGAACCATGAACCAATGTTTTAATCTTTTAGACTATTCTTCCAAGGGACAATCCTGAAACTAGAACTTGGAAGTTTGGGTGATATAATAATTGTGGGTTCAATCCCTGAGTCAGATAGTACAAATTCAAATTCAAACTTAAGGAAACAGAACCAGCAATAATTGACCAGTACTAAAAGAATTAACAAGATGAGATATCTCTAAACAGGGACAGTGAAGTAAGAAAAATCTAATACTGGAGATTAAATAAAGGGATCAGTTCAAATTTCCTTGAAGATTACACAGATTCTGAGACACCTGAAGAAGGTTGGAGGGCACAGAATCTGAAACATAATAACAACAACAAAGGTGTGTTTGACTTGAGTGATTCGTTTTTTATGGTTTATCAACCCTTTGCAGGTTATTTAAAGCCAGAAAATATTTTTTGAGATAATACTGTTTTAGTGATACAAGTCTTACTAATTAACCCAAAGCTGGGGGAGAAGAGAGGTGGATTCATACCTTTCCTAAGGGTATTTGCATGTACATAAGTCTAACAAACCCAACAAGAGTTCTGAGCCATTATCTATTACATCACCTGTACATTCAAGCTTACAGCACCAGATATTCCCAAATGGTCCCCCATCTAGGTACTGATCAGGCTTGACATTGCTTAACTTTGTTGATCATATGGGAACCAGTGTTTCAATGTGATATGGCTGTAAGCCATTAGTCTGACTGTAACTCATGTAAATAATGATGTCTCCTTATCTCAGAAGGTCAGTCAGACAATCTAGAATACCTTTGTTAGCGAGGCAATGTTTTAGGAACACTGAGTTCTGATTCTGCATATATATGTGTGTGTGTGTGTGTGTGTGTGTGTGTGTGTATGAATATGTGTTTGTGTTCAGGTGTATCTATGTATATGTGTGTGCACATTTGTGCAGTCACCTGAAAATTATAAATTATTCCTTCATTAAATTTATGCTAATAAATAAAGGTCCAGAGCTCCCTATTAATAAGTGAAAACATCTTTTCATCCTAATTTTACTGGCATATAAAAATACCTCACCTTTGTGACCTGTCATATAAGGGAGTCATTAAAATGCCAAATCTCAATTATTTTAATGTCCATGTTGTTTCTCTTTTTCTTTCTTACTCATTTTCCCTCTGTCTATCTTTATTTGTTGCCATGCCAACAATTGAGAAAGTCATATGACAATCACTGCCAGTAGTGATTAGTCATTATTTTTGTTTGGAGGTTTTGTATAATTTCGAAATGTTTATATATATTTATGTGTGTTTAGTGTTTTTTGGTCATTTTCCAATTGCTGTCATCTCAAATATGGTTTTGAGTCAGGATATGGTACTAATGTTACCAAACTTCTGGTGAAGCTATTTCATTTAAAGTTGGTATATCTTTTGTGACTGTACATACATAAATGTAATATATATATATATATATGTGTGTGTGTGTGTGTGGTTAAATTTCTCAGAAATAATTGTGAAGTTAAAACAAATTGGATAAGACAATTGTAAAATATTTCTTAGTCATTGCCAATGCATTTTGTCAATCTGACTTTATCAAGGCAAGTTTAAAAGTGAAATGTTTTGTAGTTCAAAATTTAAAACATCAAATTCAAAATATTAAATATTATCCAATTTGTCTTATCTTCAGAATTATTTCTAAGAAATTTAGCAATATGTTGACATGGAAAACTAAAATAAATTCTTAGTATAAAAAAAAAAGTTACCAATAACCAGAAAGAGTCTTACACAAGAACATTCCCATTTTGCTTTTAAATAAAGTCAGATTGACAAAATGTGTTGGCAATGACTAAGAAATATTTTCCTATTGTCTTATATATATATATATGTGTGTGTGTAGAGATTAGATAGATGAAGGTTGTGTTGAAATGTGAAACTTACAGTCACTATGCAGTGTTTATTATTCCTATGTCCATACTGTCTATATCCTTAAAACTCTAATATTGAGCACTTTTCCCCTACAAGTATAGCAAAATTTAACAATGTATTATACATAACCGGTAAATTTTCAAGTGCAATGTTGAATACAATATATATGAATTAAAAACAAATAAACACAACCAAAGAAAACACAAAAACACATACACTAGGTCTGAACTACCAAAAGAAAACATGGAAAATCCAGCAAAAATAGACACTGCTCCATGAGCCAGACCAGAAAGTTCAAAACAGAAAACCAAAAAGAGTGGATTATTTAAAATTAAAACATATTTTGGCTTATGAAAGAAATCCTTTTTTTGCAAGTGTATATTGAATTAACATTAGGAATAACAGTGATTTTTTCCAGATACAAATTCTACTATTTAACTCAATCTTAGGGGGAGATGGATTTATACATTTCCCAAGTGATAATTGAATGTAATGAGCCCAATTGGAATTGAAACCTGACTCTTCAATTTCTCATTCCAGGCTGCTATCCATTACACCACTCACACATCCTGAAGATTATAAGAATAAGGAAAATATATATATATATATATATATATATATATATATATATATATATATATATATATATATATATATATATACTCCTGTTGGTTTCAACGTATGAGGATCTGACAGATTAGTTGATTCAGTTATGAGATCTTGTGTGATAATCTTAAGTGGCATTTAAGACCTGCTAGTGGTTTACAAAGGAGGCCACATATGGAGCAAGAGTGAGGATTGTGAGATGAGATCAGTTAGATTGGCTGACCTTTTAGTTATTGCTCTCGCTTCTTGAAGATGATTCAGACAAGCAGATTGAAAACTGCTGAGTACACTAAAACACGTTGATCTCTATTCTATCTGCTCTAAGGCAGAGTGCTCAAGGGTGTTATGTGGTATATTGACAGCTTACAAGTTGCTTTTCAGCTTGTATTTGTACCTTAGTCATGGGTGTCCTACATTCCTGTAGCCCTAATCTAACTGACTGTACATTAGGATCTTGGGTATCCTGTCATCAGACATTCTCAAGACATGACCAGTCCACTGTAACTGAGACTGTATGAGAAAAGTCTCGATTTCTTCAATATTACACTTGTTAAACAGGTCTACATTAGATGTCCTCTCTTGAAGGTTAACCCCACAGATCGCACACAGACAGCTTTTATGGAAAACATCCTGGCGTATATGGTACCTGTATGGAGTCCACGACTGAGCCATACAAAAGGATGGCAAGTACAACAGCTGTGTAAACTTGAATTTTTGTATCCAGTTGAATACCCAGCTCATTCCACAAGCGATGGCGAAGTTTGCCAAAAGCACTGGTAGCCTTAGCGATCCGATGCATGATTTCATAATCTAAAGTTCCACTGTAGTTGGCTTTGCTACCAAGATAGGTGAAAGACTTTACATAGTTCAGGCCTTTGTCTTCCACATTCAATGGTCTTTCTGGAAATTTGAAGACTGGTGGTTTTTGTTTCTCGCCACAGAATTGCTTCAGAGTAGGACAAGGTTGGTGCACTACTTCAGTTTTCTTTATGCTAAGTGTAAGACCAAAGACTTTACATGCAGCAGAGAAATGATTTATTAGATGTTGGGTCTCCTCAAAGGATGTCGCTACAAGAGCAGCAGCATCAGCAAACAACAAATCATGAATAATTTGCGTACGAACTTGGGTCTTGGCTTTGAAGCGCTGAAGATTGAAGAGACCACCAGTTGTTCAAAATTGAAACTTTACGCCACTCTCTGTGTCTTCAAATGCATATTTCAGCATTACTGAGAAGAAAAGGGCAAAAAGGACAGGGGCCATGACACAACCTTGCTTGGTGCCATTTGTGACATCAAGGGATTCTGACATCATTCCATCAGACACAATATTAGCTTTCATTCCTTCATGAAAGGAGATGATGAACTTTAGCATGTTTTCAGGGATGCCGAGTTTCCTCAAGACTTGCCAAAAAGCCTCTTGATTCACAGTGTCAAAGGCCTTTGTCAAATCCACAAACACCATGTACAATTCCTGGTTTTTCTTGAACCTTCTCTGCAACGTGACGAATAGAAAATATAATGTCAATGGTGCCACGACCCAACTGAAAACCACTTGTGATTCAGGATAGATGTCGTCAACAAGGTGTATAATGATTCTGTTTAGAATCAGTCTAGCTAGGATTTTGCCTGCAATTGAAAGTAGTGATATCCCCTGATGATTATTACAGACACACCTGGAACCCTTGTTTTTGTAGAGGTCTTTGATAGAGGCATCTTTATAATCCTGTGGAACACAGCCTGCCTTCCATATCTCCACAAAAAGGAGATGCAACTTTTTTGCCAACTTTTGGCCACCATGATTATACACTTCGGGTGGAATAGGATCCTTAGGTGTAGGTGATTTTCTAGATGAGATTTGCTTGATGGCATCAATTACCTCTTGATAAGTAGGTTCAAAAGACAACTTCAGAATTTCAGGATTTTGCTCAATTGATGTGATGGCTTCCTCATCAGTAACCGAAGTGGTGTTTAACACAGTTTCGAAGTGCTCTTTCCAGCGATCTAAAATGTTTGACTTATCCATCAAGAGAGTTTCACCATCTGCTGTGCAGATTGGAGCAACACTACTTTCCTGAGGACCAAAAATGCTCTGGAGGACAGCATAGAAAAGCCTTTAGATCCTTTTTATTTGAAGCTTCTTGGAGTTCAGTGGCCTTTTCAGACCACCAACACTTTCATAGCTCTGAGAGCTTGTTGAACCTGACTTTTGCACTTCTTGTAAGCGATCTTCTTATCGGATGAGTTCTTGTCCTTAATCCATGCTTTATGAGAAGAGTGCAATTGATCTATAAGCTGCTGAACTTTTTATTATCATCAAACCAGTCTTGATGTTTATGATGTGGCAGGCCGAAAACCTCCAAGGATGTAGAATATGTTGCATAATGCAGAGCTTTCCAAGTTGATTCGATATCATGGGTAATATTTACAGAATCGAGTGCAGCATCAAGTTTGTCAGAGAGCTCAATTTTCGCTTCAGCCGATTTAAGAGGCAGTATGTTGGGTACTGCAGATTTTATAATCCTTCACTTTTGCAGATGCAGTGTAGCTTTACTCTGAAGTAGAGCGTGATCTGACAGATAGCATGTTGTGTGGAATGAACGTGTTATCTTAAAATCATTTATGCCCCCGTCTTTTGGTGATGACGTAGTCAATCAGATGCCAATCTTTCGAATGAGGATGCATCCATGTGGTCTTATGACAGCTGGGTTGCTGGTAGAAGGTATTAGTGATACTAAGGTCAAATTCCTTGCAGATAGTGAGAAGGCGTAATCCATTAGAATTCATATGACCAATACCACGGTGATCTAAGACGCCCTTCCAAGAATGATAATCACTGCCAACATGAGCATTGAAATCACCAGTAAGGACTAATTTATTCTTGTTGGACTTTAGAGATGACATCCTGAAGGAGATTGTAAAAATCATCTTTTTCTTCATCTGAAATACCTAAGGCTGGTGCGTAGCAGCTAACCATTGTCACACGAGTGTTGCACTCCAGATTAAGGGTTAATGCCATTATACGTTCAGATACACCTTTAGGTAAGGAAGGCAGTGAGGTAGCAAGGTCTGACTTGATGGCAAAGCCAACACCAGCCTGGCATGGCTCTTTCTCAGTCTTGCCAGCCCATAAAAATACGTATCCGCCTTTTTCTTCCCTAAGCTGAGAATTACCAGCCAGACGTGTTTCACTAATAGCCGCTAT